CCCACACCGCCTGGCCGCCCTCTGGAAGTCCTCTATTAATGTGTTTTTGATGCGGCTGGTTTCTTTGTTTTACACAGTTTTCTGTGCTGAGTTCGTTTAATATCTACTAAGTCTTTCTGGTTTTCCTCTTTTATTTTGATGTGAAGGTGTATTCAATTTTTTTGTTACCATGTAATTTGTTAATCTCCCAGCCCCATGTAAAACAATCTGTCGTATTTTTAAATCTATTTTATCCCAATTTAGAGTTCTGTATCTACACTAGTCCCTCTGTTTGCTTGGTAGTTGACTCATTATACATTGATATTGCTGGTTCCCTATATTCAGTCTTGTAGGTTTGTTTTACTTTAAGTGCTTCTCTGTCTGCATTGCGTTCTGGCTGGTGGTGTCCTATATGACTGGACTGTATGGATACAGTGCTGTCTCCTGTTGGGTTGAAAGTCCTCTTTCAACTCCCCCCCCCCCCCACGCACAGCAGGAAGCAAAACAGAATAAGCAACTAACAGTGAAAAGAGACAATAAAAGAGAAAAAAGAATTACAAACAGGCAGAGACCAGAAAAGAAGAATATAATAACTAAAAAGAGAAAAGAGGGACAGAAAATGGAGCTATAGAAGAAAAAAATTAAAGGAAAAAATAAAAATAACCCTTAGAAAACCTAGGGAGAGGAAAGATAAAAAAAGAGTAGAGGATAGTAAAGAAAGATCAAAAGGGTGGAAAAAAAGATGGGAAATGAGAGACAGAAGAAAAGGAGGGAAACAAAAGCAGAGAAAAGATAAAATTCAAGGGATTGGAAAAGAGGAGAAGAAAGAATAAACAAACATAAACAATGAAACAAAAAAGCCAAACCTCAAAACCAAAATAGTGTAGTTGTTGGACCGGGAGAGGATGCCAGCCAGGGCTCTCATCAGCTGGGTGTGGGAGCAGTGTGACAGCAAGGTCCTGGCCCTAGATGGAGCTCTTATTGGCCTCCGTGTTAACTATGTTTAGTATTTGGTGGAGGTGCTTGATGGAGCTTCTTTCAGTATCTATTAGGAGCACGGGGCAGATGGGGGCAGGATGATTGTTCAGTGCTGGCCTGGTGGCTCTGTGCGCTCTATAGGTCCTAAGGTGAAGCCCACCTGAATCCAGTCACAAAAACTGCACAGTGCTGTCGGCTCCTGTCTCACTCACACTGACCTGCTTTCCAACCAGGTGGCTCTGACCTCCTGAAGAGCTGGGGCTCTGCTGAGGGGCGATGAGGGTGGGAGCTGGCCCACACCTTGGTCACAGGGGGGAAGTGTGGGAAGAAGAAGGAATCACACCTTTCCATTCACCTCGTGATTCTGCTCTGCCAAGCCACCTTCTGTTGCCAGTTAACATTTATTTTAAGTGGTAAAGAAATCTAGCAAAAATAATCAGCATGACAACAGTTGCGAGGATGCTCAGCATTGGGCTCTGTTTCTTTCTGAGTGAAAGGCAGAAGGTGCAGTGATGTGGTGTGGACCTTGGAGTTCATTACAGCTGCCATTGGAGTAAGTGAACAGCGCTCCCTTCATGAGGAAGTAGTGGAGCAGCCAGTGCATCTGCAGGTCTGCTAACTGCAGTCTTGTTAGGGCCTTCGGGTTGGTTCCGACTCATAGCGACCCTGTATAGGGTTTCTGAGGAGCGGCTGGTGAGCTTGAAACACCCACCTTGCCCTTTAAAACTGACTTCGTAGTGTAGCACATTAACCCGCAGAAAAGTCCCCCAGCCCACCCCGATTGTTCTCGCCTGGTCATGCAGATCAGGTAAGCAGAAATTTCAGAGTATGTTGTGTATCGGAACATAGTAATTAGAAAACGGTCTAACCATATATTTATTTTTTAATTCAGGGGAGCTCTTTCTGTACCTGTTCTTTAGGTGTGTTCCCCTTGTCTCATGCTAACCTGTGTTCCTGCTCTTGTTGAGAAGAAAGCATTTGTAGGGGAGATGCAGATTTGTGTTTGTATTTATCTTGAGGAATGTATTAACCTATATTTCTGTGAAAATAAAAGTTCCTACGGGAAGGTATTCTGGTTTCATATCATTACTTCTTAGTCTGAAAAGTGTATGTGGCGGGAGGAAGGAGGGAGAACTGGGGAAGATTTGCAGAAAGGAATTGTAGCTCCAGATTTTGTACTTCTCATTTATGGAATTCCTAATTCAGGATGGAAATCAAAATAATACCATTAAACACTAAGAGTGTGGTTAGCTCGGGTTGGCATTTCACCCAGCAGATGAACTTGCCTCACTGCCCTTTCTGGCTCAGTTATTTGGTCCTACAGCCTTGATGGATGTGTGTGTGTGGGGTAGCACTACACTACAAACCACAGGGTCTGCAGTTCACATCCACCAGCCGCTCCCTCGTAAACCCTGTGCAGCAGGGTCGCTATGAGTTGGAGCTGAACGACGGCAGTTTGCAACAACAACAACAACAATAACAATTTGTGTTAAACCTGAAGCTAATGTACATCAATGCTGTTAGGTCCTTTCCCAAGCCAAATCCAGCACAGCAGTTGCCATCTACTTGATTCTGGTTCGGGCTGAGCCTGGGTGTGCCTGCCCGAGTGCACCTCTGCTCCTTTGGGCTGCCCGAAGTCTAGGCTGTCTTCTAAGGTGCCTCTGGGTGGGTGCGGACCAATACCTTTTTTGTTAGTAGTGGAATGCTTGGCTGTGTGCGCCACCCTGGGACTGTTCAGTACCGTCAGTTCACTGCGGTTAACTGGCCTCAGTCCAGGAGAAAGCATGTAGGATGGAACAAAGTGCTGCCCGGCCCCACGTCATCCTCTGTGATCAGCAGTTGATTGGAACGTTGTGATTTGATTTTTGGAAGTAGATCGCCAGTACTTTCTTCCTAGTTCCTCTGATGTGTGGTTGTATCTAGTTTCTCATACGAGGTTACCGATCTGTGATCCAGTTCCAAGAGCCCAGCTCCCTCACGGTCATAATCTAATGTTGTTGTTATGTGCTGTGGAGTCGGTTCCGACTCACAGCAACCCCGTGCAGGGTTTCCGAGGCTGTAACTCTTTACGGGAACAGAAAGCCTCATCTTTCTCCTGTGGAACAGCTGGGAGTTTTGGAACTGCTGACCCTGAGGTTAGCAGCCCGATTTGTAACCAGTACGCTACCAGAGTTTCCTCTTATTCCCAGCAGAGCATGCAGCCAGCACTGATGGTCAGGTAAGTGTCTAAGTAGATAGATCTAGTTTTTGAGGAGAATGGGCGGGAGGGAAGGGAGTAGGTTTTTCTTCTGTGTTCCTGTTTAGGATATTTAGTGATACTTCAGAACCCAGACAGTGCAGAGGAAACCTTCGCGTTTGGAGTGACTGCTACAGGGGTGTGCATTTTGGGGGAAATGAGAACTGAACCCTTTTCCGTCTTGGTACCTGCTACAGGGGTTGTGGAAGGTGACCTAGCTGCTATTGAGGCGTACAAGTCCTCAGGAGGAGACATTGCTCGTCAGCTCACTGCAGACGAAGTGCGCCTGCTGAACCGCCCGTCTGCGTTTGATGTCGGCTACACGCTTGTGCATTTGGCCATCCGCTTTCAGAGGCAGGATATGCTTGCCATACTGCTTACGGAGGTGAGTGTGACGTTTGGGTTCAACTGTCTTTTATAGCAAGGGAGCTTTTTGTCTCTTTTGATGTGACATTTCTCCCACCATTTTAAATATGCCATTAAAAATGTAGTTTTAATTGCGTATACTCTGACTATATTCTTTAATTGCGTATACCCTGAAGAATATATTCAGGGTATATGCAATTAAAACTCCATTTACCCTGATATTTACATACGATAAGCACTGGACTGTGAGCCACGAGGTCATCAGTTCAAGTCCACCTGCCAGTCACTCCACAGGGAAAAGATGAGGCTTTCTGCTCCTGCATAGATTTAAAGCCTCAGGAATACTATTCAGGGTTGCTAGGAGTTGGAACCGACTGAACAGCACGTAACAACAGCAAAAAGTATTTACTGAGTACCTACTCTGCACCTGGAGTCCTGGGGTGGCACTGTAGGATAAGCACTGGACTGCTAACCTCAAGGTCAGTGGTTCAAACCCACCAGCCCTTCTTTGAAAACCCTACTCAGGGTTGCTGTAAGTTGGAATGGACTCGACAGCACTTCCCAGTAACAACTCTGTGTCAGGCTGGTGCTTGGAGGGGACCCGGTTGTGTCTCCCTTGACTAATCCCTGAGGATTTTCTAGAGAACAAGCAACAGGTGGTTCTGTGCGCCTGCGCTCTGATGAGGTGAGGTGCTGCCAGCTGCTTCTCTCAGAGCAGTCGCTGTCTTAACCACAATCTGAAGGAGAGGCGATTATGGTCACCATCTAGGTGGTGACCAGTTGACCACCAAGGCTTTCTTTCTGAGCCATCTCTGGGTGGACTGAAGCCTTCAGACTTTTTGTTCTCGTTGACAAGGTTAACTATTTACAGCCCCCAGGACTTCATTATTGTGAGTTTAAACAAAGAAACGTCAAGCGCTATAGGACTGACGAGAGCTACTCCATAGGGTTTCTGAGATTTCTGTAGCGTTCCAGATGGGTCTGAACTTCCTGACCTTTCGGTTAGCAGCTTTGCCCAGTATGCCTCCAGGGACTCCTTGGTTTGTAATCCAAGGTCAAGGGGTAGCACCTTTGAAGTCTACTAACAGAGTAGGGTGAAGAGTGTGTTCAGTCTCCTTTTTTGGGGAGCTGACTTTCCCTGGCTTTTAAGACCTTTGTATTAGGTGCATGGGGGCGGGGGGGAGGGCATGGTTACTTTGTAGGGTTAGCAGTAGAATCTGAACTACAAGGTCAGTGATTTGAACCCACCAGCCGCTTCATGGGTGAAAGACGAGGCTTTGTTCTTGCTAAAATGTTCAGACTTGGAAACCCTATACAGGGTCATTGTGACTCGACACTTCACAGCAACTGTTGGATGCGTGATGATTAGTCTTATCTAGGTTGTGTTCTGCCCCCCCACTCTCCTCCGTGATATATCTTAATGAAAAACACTCTTTTACATAAATCTTGGTGTGCATCTTTGAGTTGAGCCTTTCCCTGGCTTAAAATTACAGAGTCTTACAGGTTAAGATGTTTTTATGATTATTTTCTTGAAACACTGTGCTGCTCCCACTGGTAAGGGAAAAGACAACTCTCTAATAATAACCCCGTAGATTTTAAGATCAACATCAAATTACTGGAAACGTTTTGATAATTGCCTTTTCAGTACTGATGTTTTCTGCTTTTGTGTATGCTGACTGAGGTAGAGCAGAGAGTCTGTTTTGTATTCTAGGTGTCTCAACAAGCAGCCAAGTGGATTCCAGCCATGGTGTGTCCAGAACTGACGGAGCAGATACGCCGAGAGATAGCTGCCTCTCTCCATCAGAGGAAGGGCGACTTTGCTTGCTATTTTCTAACTGACCTTGTAACATTTACCTTGCCAGCAGGTAACTTCAAAGTTGAATATGCCAAGAAATTTTTACCTTAACTATAGCTTGTGTTTCAAGGCATGGGTGACAAATGTAGTTTTGTTAGAAAGAAGATGACTGAATTCCATTGTTTGCTTCTTAAATTACTTATTAAGCTATTTATAATGTAAATTATAAATTAATCTTTATTGATTGATATTGTTGTTAAGTGCCTTAGAGTTGGTTCTGAAATAGGCGATTCTATGTAGGGTTTCTGGGGAGTGACTTGTTAGCAGTGCAGCACTTACCTTACAAAGCCATGCCTGCTGTATACTACTAACACTGCTCATAAACGAATGCTCTAAGTTACCTGGAAGGAAGACAGCAGCTGCAACAACTGATTTCTTTGTGAGTCTCAGCTATTAAGAACAAACAGACAAAAAAATCCAACCAAAAATAGGACAACTAATTTAAAAAATGGACAGAGGACATGAACATGAACTTCATCAAGAAAGGCATTCAGGCAAACAGTAAGAAATGTTCACGATCATTAACCATTGAACACATGCCAATCAAAACAATGAGAGAAACATCTCAAGCCAGCATTAATAATAGGAAAGTTAAAAAAAAAAACCCAAACAGAAAACAACAAAATTCTGGTGAGGGTATGGAGAGACTGGAACCCTCCCAAATAATCTCATGGTTACATTGCTGGTAGGATTATAAAATGGTTCAGCCACTCTGGAAAACATTATGGTGCTTTTTCAGAAAGTTGGAAATAGAAATACCGTATGATTAAGCAATTCCTCTATTTGGTATATGTCCCCAAGAAATACGAGCCAGGACACAAGTAGGTATATGGACACCAATGTTCATCACAGCCCGATTCACTACAGCAAAAAGATGGAGACAGCCAAATGTCCATCAATGGAAGAATGGATAAACGAGCTTTGATATACACAAGGGAATACTATGCAACCTTGAAGAACAACACTGAATTTGTGAAACACCTTAGAATCCTAATGTAGGAACTTGAAGGACATTATGCTGAGTGGACTCTGTCATAGAGACTGCTATTGTAAAAACTCAATAAAAGGTTTTCATGCTAAAAGAAACATTCTTTAATAGTTACCAGGGGTGGGCAGAAAGAAAGAGTAATTCATAAGCTAGAGAGTAGTTACTGTTAAGTGCTGTTGAGTTGCTTCCGACTCATAGCGACCCTGTATAGGGTTTCCGAGGGGCAGCTGGTGGCTTTGAGCAGCTGACCTTGTGGTTTGCAGTCCAGTAGATACATGTTTATTTGAGTGGTGGGGAGGGCAATATGCAAGAAGGAGGCTGGCAGAAGATTGGTGCAGACATAGGGAGGTATGTAAGGACTAAAGGGGATAGAGGTAAATAGTGTTAAATATACAACCGTGGCGCAACGGTATTCTGTGGGTAGAAGCAGGCACCAATACACAGACTGAAAAGGTCTGGGAGGAAGAATAGAAGTATATTTCAAACCCAAATGTATATTGTACCTGGATATATATGTGGTTTGAAATACAGTGTTGTCTGTGATAGGATAGTATCCATAGCCTACAAGGAAGACGAGTAAATATCATTACTATTAAAGTTTATCCACCACCTACTAAACCCAGTGATGATTAAATTGAAGAATTTAACCAATTTTAGTCTGAAATTGATCAAACGTGCAGTCAACATTTATTAATTACTGGTGATTGGAATGCAAAGGTTGGAAATAAAGGATCAGTAGTTGGAAAATGTGGCCTTGGTGATAGAAACGATGCCAGATATTGCATGAAAATACTTTTTGAAAACAACGTATAAGATGACTAAACACATGGACCTCACCAGATGGGATACACAGAAATCAAATTGATTACATCTGTAGAAATAGATGGTGGAAAAGCTCCATTTCATCAGCCAAAACAAGTCCAGGGGTCGATTGTGGAACAGGCCATCAATTAATCATATGCGAGTTCCGGCTGAAGCTGATGAAAGTTAAAACAAGTCCACGAGAGCCAAAATATGACCTTGAATATATCCCACCTGAATTTAGAGATCATCTGTAAAGCGATTTGATGCATTAGACATTAAAGACCAAAGACCAGAAGAATTGTGGGATGACATCAAGAACATGATATAGATAGAAAGCAAAAAGTCATTAAGAAGACAAGGAAGAAGGAAAAGACCAAAGAGTATGTCAGAAGAGACTCTTGACACTTGCTCTCCAGCGTAAAGATGCTAAAGCAATTGTAATACATAAAGTACAAGAGCTGAACAGAAAATTTCAAAGGTCATCTCGAGAAGACAGAGTCAAATATTAATTTGACTTTGAAATGTGCAAAGACCTGTTGAGTTAGAAAACCAAAAGGGAAGAACGTGCTCAGCATTTCTCAACCCGAGGGAACTGAAGAAAAAATTCAAGCCTCAACTTGAAGTATTGAAGGATTCTTTGGGCAAATGATGCAGAAGGCATCAAAACAGAATGTAAGGAATAGAGACTCACTATACCAAAAAGAAATGGTTGATGTTCAACCATTTCAAGAGGTAGCATATCATCAGGAGCCAGTGATCCTGAAGGAAGGGCACGGTGCATAGAAGGCATTGGCAAAGAACAAGGCACCTAGACCAGATGGGATACGAATTGAAATCTTTCAACAAATGCCACACTGGAGGTACTCATTCTGTTTGCCAAGAAAATTGGAAGACAGCACCTGGACAATTGACTGGAAGAGAGCCATATTTGTGTCCATTCCAAAGAGAGGTGACCTAGTGAAATGTGGAAATCATCAGACAATATAATTTATAAAGATAATTCAAAAAGGGCTGCAACCAGACATTGATAGAGAGCTTTAAGAGGTTCTTAAAGCTGGATTCAGAAGAGGATGTAGAACAAGGGATGTCATTGCTGATGTCAGATGGATCTTGACTGAAAGCAGAGAATACCAGAAAGATATTTACCTGTGCTTTATTGACTACACAAAGCCTTTCGATTGTGTGGATCATGACAAGCTATGGACAACATTGCGACATATGAGTATTCTAGAACAACTTCATTGTGCTAGTGAGGAACCTGTACATAGACCAAGAGGCAGTTGTTCAAACAAAACAAGGGGAACACTGAATGGTTTCAAATTAGGAAAGGTGTGCGTGCCAAGGTTGTATTCTTTCACCGTATTGATTCACTCTCTATGCTCAGCAAATAATCCGAGAAACAGGATTCTACGGAGGAAAGTATGGCATCAGGATTGGAGGAAGACTCATTAACGACCAGCCATATGCTTCTAAAAGTGACGAGGACTTAAATACTTTTTGATGAAGATAAGAGATTACAGCCTTTAGTATGGCTTGCATCTCACATGTAAAGAACACAAGAATCCTCACCAGTGGACCAGTCAACAACATCTGTATAGATGGAGAAAAGATTGAAGTTGTCAAAGACATCATTTTTCTCGGATCAACCATCAACACTCATGGAAGCAGCAGTCAAGAAATCAAACGGCCTATTGCTGCACAAGATCTCTTTAAAGTGTTGAAGAGCAGAGATATCAGTAAGGTGCGCCTGACCCAAGCCATGATATTCTCAGTAACCTCATATGCATGTGAAAGTTGAACAGTGAATAAGGAAAGTTGTAGAAGAATTGATGCACACACGTATACAGATTTTACATGCAAACTAACTGACAAACTGCAGTTGAAAGGAGTTCTTTTAGACGAAGTTACTGTTAGATGTTTTTGTTAGTTTATTCAGTTACGAAGTTTAAGCTCTTTCAAGTCTACATTTTCTTTGTAGATATCGAAGACTTGCCCCCAACAGTCCAAGAAAAATTATTTGATGAGGTGCTTGATAGAGATGTACAAAAAGGTAAGCAGGGAATTGAGTGTAATTTGCCTCTCATTAAGTTAGTTAATGTACTGCTTTGTTTTGTCAGGTTTGGAGCACTGTGGTGCATGGTAATCTAATCCTGCTTCATTCGTGTCAGTTACAAAATGATGTAAGAAGACTGTCCTATTGTTTTGGGATAGTTGTCAAGGGGATTTAAAAGTGCTTGTGAGGAGCGTGTAACTTGGATAGCGTGAACAAACCAAGGATGGTTTAAAGTTCTGAACAGTAGCTTTCTACTTCTCATTCTAGAAGGAGTCTACTTCTACTTTTATCATTTTTAGAAGATAAGTTGTCAAGAATTTAAAAGTTGAGTAAATTATTCTAGAGCCTCAAGATCAGCTACTTCACGCAGAAGATTTATACTTCATTTGATAAAAGTTATTAGGTATTTAATTGCAAATTACATAGAAACCTTTGAACATCTATTGTGTAGACCTCCTTCCTCTATTTATTCCTCAGTTGCATGAGAATGAAAATGAATATGTCATTTAATTCCTCTTTTAGAGTTAGAAGAAGAATCTCCAATTATAAACTGGTCATTGGAATTGGCCACACGCTTGGACAGTAGGCTGTATGCACTGTGGAATCGGACAGCAGGAGACTGTTTACTTGACTCTGTGCTACAAGCCACCTGGGGCATTTATGACAAGGACTCAGTGCTTCGCAAAGCCCTTCATGACAGCCTGCATGACTGTTCACATTGGTGAGCTGCTGCCCTTCTTCCCTGTGGACGTCAGGAGCACACCTGCTCACAGTGCCTACAGTGTGGGAGGTGTTCTGTCTAAGGGAAGCTGGGGGAAAGCAATACCTTTGATTTGTACCTTAGATACTTTGTGCTGAGTTTTAAAATGTGTATAAACACTTAAACTTGTACTAGTTTATATATTGACAAGATCTTTGTTCACAATTTAAAATAGTTACAATTTCATTATCTCTTAAGAAATTATGTTGCAATTATATGATGGTTTTTTTTTCCCCCCCCTTCCTGGGGCAGGAAGTCCTAAGAGATTGTATTTTGCAAATTTTCAAGCTCACCGAAAATTTAAAAACAAAACAAAAAACAAGTCAACCCAACACCTCTGATTTGCTTGCCCTCTTGTTAACACCTTGCCATGTGTGTCAGTCTCTACGTACCCAGACAGTGCTCTGTGTGCCAGGTGCAGACATTGCAGTGCCTCCCTTTCAGTGTCTCAGCGCCTGGAGTAACCAAGGGTATCCTCTTGCCCAGCTACTGAAGTTGTTCAGCGATTCACTTCCCTAGCATATGTGCCTATAGTCACGCTTTTCTGCTGGTCTCCAAAAATGCCCTGCTTCATTCCTTGTTTATTCTAGAACCCTGTCACCTGTACAACAAATATGGAGCTATAAACTCAACCACAGAGGTACCTGTGACCGTGTTTGAATTGTCTTAGTTCTCCGTGTCTTAGTTCTCAATACCACACGTGGACGGCTTCCACAAATGTGCTGATGTTTCTCCCTGTCTAGAAATGGGAGGTCAGGGTGCTGGCTCTGAGGGCTCTGGAAGACGGTCCCGTGTCATCATAGAGTCTTCACGTGGCACGCCATCTTTCTCTCTCAGCTCTGCCTGTGTGTTTGCTTCCGTCATCTCTTTTCTATCTTGAAGCAGGTGACCAGACACTTGCGCACCACTCGGGCTTTGTTAATGTAGTAAAGCCACCTCATGCCCAGATGGATTGTGTGCCACCCAGTCAGTGCCAACTCGTAATGACCGTATGTTGAGTTTCCAAGGCTGTAAGTCTTTACGGGCACAGAAAGTCTTGTCTTTGTCCTGCGGTTCCAATACATAACCCACTCTACCACTAGGGCTCCTTATTCACAGGTATAGAGGTTACGATTTACAGCACAGTTCTGAGGCTACAGTTCAATCCATAACATTCAGTAGTTCAGTCTCTTTGACAGCATTTCCTGGGTTTGGTGCATACATTATCCCATTTAGTTATTTTATAAATGAGAAAACTGAGCCTCAAAGAGGTTGGCCCATTGGTGAAGTTAGTAAGCAGTAGAACTGATTTTCAAGTTTATACTATTTTCCCTACATCAGAATAAAAATATTATTTTATCCTATAACTAACAGTTGTTTAAACAGTGATGCCTGAGGCTGCCCGCTTCAAGCAATTTTTACCCAAGCATCTTTTTGTTACTCTTGAGCACCTACTTCCTATGGGTTTTTTGGTCACTAGATGGACAGTTCCTTAGTACCAGGAATGTTGCTTTGCTTTATTGTGGATGTTCCAGTGTCTGCAGCAGCCTGACATAGCGCTCGGTTCACACTGTGCAGTGTGTCCAGAGTGTGGGAGTCAGCCGCGGGCCGTTAGTGAGCTGGATGCCGTGGAAATGATCCAGTAGGAAGTGGGGAGGTGGCCTTTTCAGGCTCACCTGACACCGTTACACATTGGCTCCATCTAGCCCCAAGTCCAACTGGACTTGGCTGCACTCAGAGATCGAGTGTTTTGGTTGCTGTGAATCTGGGGTTTGGTGTCCCCGAAAGATGGATGTATCTTCTGTGCTTCTTGGACTGGAGGACTCGTAACTCTACCACTCCAGTGAGTCCTCTTGAAACAGCCACCCAGTCATCTTCCCTCAGCATCCTATGCTGACAGTGTTGGAGGCTGAAAATACATGCTAATTTTCACCAGGTGTTGGCTATTATTAATTCCGAGGTTTTTTTGTTTTTAAAAGACCGCGTGTAGCTCTTTATAGTACTTTTGGCGCTTTTGCACCAAACTTGGTGGTTGTTATTGTTAAGTGCTGTTGAGTCGATTCCGACCTATATAGTGGCCCTGTATAGGATTTCCAAGGAGCAGCTGGCGAGCTTGAACCACCGACCTTGTAGTTCAAACGACTTTGCAGTGCCAAACTTGGTAGTGTTCTTCAAACCTGATAGTGGGTCATCTGGATTGGAGATGTCATTCATTTTGGTATCAGGACTGGCATTTTGTGGTGGTCTTTGGTCACTGGAAATCCTTGAAAATCCACCATGATTGTAGGGAGAGAGCACATAAGTAGACATGGCATTAGTAAGTGTCTTGATGGGAAGTGGCCATTCGTGGGAGAAGGAGCTAGGTCGTAGGTGGTAAGTAGAGGCCTTGCACACTGACGGATTCCCCAGAACAAGGTGTGCCTGGCACTGCCACCTCTGATCCTGCCAGCCCAAACCACTGCTTTAGCTGCTGCCTGCCTTACAGTGCTGGCAGCGATCGACACAGTACCCTACAGTAGCTAGAGGCTGGGCCTAGAGAAAGCAGCTTTGTGGCTTTCAGTGACATGGGTCAGCTGTGTTGGCCTTTATTGATAGCCCTCACATTCTTGTCTGTGTTGAGTTGTGACAAGTTTGTTCACTGAGTTTGGGATGCCTGAGAGGCAGCTGAGAGAGGAGCCAATGTAGTGTGTGTAACTAGCCCCTTTAAATAGCTCTTAATACAAATCCATTTGGTCTGAGACAGTTTCTTAAGTCATGTCTCTGGTAAGAAGTAAAAGTAATTTTTCAGCTCCATCCCCAACACTTTAAGATCAGCTATTTTTATGTGTTGGTAGCTGTGCTTTGCTGTTGGATACCCATGATTTGAACCGACTCAGGGCTTCTGGCCTGAGTATGGACTTGCCTCCAGCTAGCATGCCAATCAGGGATCCTAGTGGGGGAATGAATGAAAGAAGAGAAAACAATCACAAAATTCCACAGGACAGTTGCTCAGTATTGTTTTGGTAAGAGCTATCTCTAGCTTTGTATTATAGTTATGTTTCTCACTGTCGGCTGCCACAAACACTCTTTGGAAATAGACAAATGTGTTTTAATATGATCTTTCCAAATACCTTTGCTCACCTTGGGGGATTCAACATTGGCAGGTAAGTGTGAAATAACCTGAATTTCAGTTAATTCTCATCTTTTTGGAAGTATAATTTGCATACTATCAGATTTACTTGTTCAGTGATTATTAGTAACTATCCTGAGTTGTGCAGCCATCCCCAGCATCGGGGTTCATTTCCATCAGGCCAGAAGCAACTGGTTCCCTCCCCTCGTCCCTGAGAGCCACTGAGGTTTTTCTGTCACTGTAGGTGTGCCTTTTCTCGACATTGTATGTAAACAAGGCTGTGGCCCATAGCTACACTCTGCTCCTTTTTCTTGTCCAGTGAATGTCCCATTGTAGGCATCTATAGGAGTCCCGGTGGCTCTGCAGTAAAGTCCCCTAACTGCTCTGCAGCAGATAGATGAGGCTTTCTGCTCCCTCCCATGGGGTGTACAGTCCTCGGAAGCCTTCTCTTAGGGCCGCTGGAGTTGGAATGAACTCGGTGGCCATGAGCTGAGCTTTGAGAGTTTTTGTATGGAGAGCTACCATGTTTTCTGTATCTGTCCATTGAGAGACATTTAGGGGTGTTTTCTACCTTTTTGCTGTTACAAATAATGTTGCTGTGAGTATTCACATCCATCTCTGGTGACGTAGACTCTCATTTTTATTTGGTTGATACCTAAGAATGGCATTTCTGTTCATAAGGGGTAAGTATTAACATTGTAAGATGCTGCCCAACTTATTTTACAGTGTCTTTCTGGTCATAGCCATTCTAAGTACATGTGAAGTAAGTAATACCTTGCAGTTTTGTGGAGCGTTGTGTTTAGTGCCTATTGGCCATTTGGGTGAAATGCCTTTTTCAAGTCTTTGGCTCATTTGTAAATGGGTTGTCTTACTGTTGAGTTGTAGGGGTTGTTTATATATTTTGGATACAAGCCTCACATTAGATAAATGATTTCTAAACAATTTTCCTCCAGCCAGTGGTTTGTCCTGTGGTCACTCTGTTAGCTGTGTGTTGTGAAGCCTATTCATTTTTAATAATGATGCATCTACCTGATCATTCTTCTGCTTACTTGGCTGGGCCTTTTGTTCTCCTTACCTAGTCCAAGGCCGTGAAGATTTAATTCCTGGCTTTTTTCTAACACTGGTGTTATGGAGGCCTGGATCTGTTTTGAGCTGGTTTTTGTTAACGCTATGAGGTTAGGACCTACACACATCTGTTTGGATGCAGAACCCAGTTGTCTCACAGTGATTGTTGAGAGAATTACATTTTCCCTTCTGAATAGCCTTGGACCTTGGTCAGAATTCGCTGGCCATAAAGGTGTCAGAGGTTTGTGTCTAGACCCTTCCTTCTTTCTGTTGGTTCCGTCTGTCTCTGTCCTTGTGACAGTGCCACACTCTTTCTGACTGTGCTCGTACTACCTTTGAAATTACTAGGAAGTTTTTAAGTCTCCAGTTTTGTTCTTTTTCAAGATTATTTTAACTGTTCCGGGCCCTTTGGGTTTCCATTTAAATTTTAGGATTCAGCTTGTTAGTTGTGCAGAAAACTTGGCCGTGAGTTTACAAAGAAGGATGTTGGATCTGTAGACTAGGGACACTGCCAATTTCACAACATTGAGTTTTCAGTCCATGACCCTAGAGTCATACCAAACTTCTGTGCTTTGGACGAGTCCCAGCTGATGGACACTCCTTTGGTGTGGCACTAGATTGGGTTTGCTGTGCCTTCTCAGTGAGCCAGGTAGCCTCAGAGTCCCCGTTGTGGGGTGGGGTGGGGTGGGGTGGGGTGGGGTGTGCATGTTTATGTAGAAGTACCTTTATTGCCTTCTCTATTTAGTAGTAGATCATCTCAGAGGCCCCGTTGTGGTGTGGTGAGGTGAGCCTGTGGACTTGGAAGGACCTTTATTGACTGGCCATAGTTAGTGGTCTTGATGAGTAGTAGTGCTCTTGTCCTTTAATTTCTGGTGGACTTGGTGGACTCATTCATAAAATGATTTTAAGCAGCAAGTAGGAAATAAGCTAATTAAGTGTATTATTAGTACACTTCCAGTTTGTAAACATATTTCTATGTGCCAGTGAAGCTTCTCACTGGAATGTTATTTTGCTATTGGTCATGAAATGCTCATACAAGGTGCATTAAACGTTCGGCATTGTAATAGAAACCCTTGGCTCCCTGGACATGGAAGGTCTTCTAGTGAGAAGTGGGACGTTACAGACAAGCTCTGGATCTCTTCGCTTCAGAGGTTTGTAAGCAAAGCTTGGTCTGTAAGATAGTGAACCACAGATATAAGTGAAATCACTCTAATTTGATAACTTTATACTCAGTGTTTCAGCCTGAGGGGTGGCGCTGTAGCATCAATACAATGTTGACAGTTCAGACTTGTCAGTTGCTCCTCTGAAACCCTATACAGGGTCACTATGAGTTGAAACCAACTTGACGGTACTCAAAAACAACCGCATCATTAAATGTGTAAAGAATTGGTTTTGTAATTGCAGTGTGTGTGGGTTTTTTTGGTGGTGGTTGTTGGATTATTGACAGAGAGCTGGGTTTCCTCCTGGGGGTGGGGGGAGAAGTTTTCCAGGAGGTGCTCCTGATGTTCTTGTGAACACGTGGGCATTGTCTGACCGTGTCCACTGTCTCAGTGACTGTGTTGCTCATGTGAGCTACTCGTGTACACATTTCTGAATGGCATTTTGGTGGGGGTGGTGGGGTGGGTTGGATGAAATTTGGGTGGAGGATACAGATGTAAGCTAGCAGAATGCCGAAGGAGGCCTGGTGGGTTGCGAGTTGGGCTTTAACAGCCAGGTCAGCAGTTAGAATCTACCAACTGCTCCATGGAGAAAGATGAGACTTTCTACTCCCATAAATGTTTATAGCCTCAAAAACCCTGTACAGACACGACATGGTCACTCAGAGTCAAGGTCAATGACAGCATGCAGCACCAGCAGCAGAATGAGGCATTTGTAGTTTGAAAAAAATAGTGCAAGAAAGCTAAGATCAATTAAAGTTGTTTTCACATGGCGTTGCTTAGAGACTATTAACTAAATTTGCAGCACCAAATACACTGCTTATAAATGACTTGGGTTTTTTTTAGGTTTTATACACGCTGGAAAGATTGGGAGTCGTGGTATTCTCAGAGCTTTGGTTTACATTTCTCCTTGAGGGAAGAACAGTGGCAAGAAGACTGGGCCTTCATCCTCTCTCTTGCCAGCCAGGTAAGGCCTTTCTGCAGGGTCTCCATCCCTTGCTTCTGTAAGCATACCCTGTTGGGTCCCAGTCGGGACTGCCGCTTACCACCGCGTGACCACAGCCAGCCCTCCCCACAGCACATGGAGAGTCTGTGGTAGGCTCGCCTTGTGCAGGTGTTGAGAAGGGGGGGGGTACCCTAGTTAGGTTAGTCTTCCTCACCCCACCTTCTTCCACCTGAGCGCTGTTGGACTGCAGGCATTCTCTCCAGAAGGTTCCCGGTGTGGGGACCACATGGCTAAGGTGAAGAAGGTATAGTTCTGGAAACAAGTTCCCACTGAAAGGGAGGGATTGCTGATGAAGTTTCCTGTGAGGTTGCGGGCATTGCCACATTCACTCACTCATCACACTGACCCTGAAAAGGACTTTTTCAGAGGTTGTGTGTGTGTGTGTGTGTGTCTGGGGGGGGGGGGGGGCCCCCTGGAACCAGATGTCCTGCCTCTGTGGGGGGTGGAGGTGTGTGTCTCTACTGGGATGGCTTCACGTGGGGTTCTAGGAAGGAGGGAATAGCAAGGTGACAAGATGCACTTACTGGGAAGCCACCAGCCAGTTGTGCCCTGCAGTTCGCTTGCTTTTAGAACAGATACTTGGGCGGTAGCAGCTCCAGATTCTTTTATAAGGAAAGCCTTTCAATTACACAAAAGTGTGTCCAATTTGCCTGTTTAGACTCTTGATTTTATCCAACTTGTCTTTTGTGAAATTGTCTCTTTATTTAATGTATCTACAATAAAAGCCTTCCACTTCTTTCCAGAAGGCGCCACTGTTCATTGGAACCCTGGCAAGGAAAGGCCTCATACAGGCTGGTTCCCATTGGAGACCTGTACCCTTGTGGTTCTCAGGGCTCACCTGTCAATGCTGCTGCGGCATTTTGAGTTACAGAAAGCTTTATTCAAGCGTGTGTGAGAGAACAGAGCTTGTAAGGTTCAACTCCTACCAGCACTCCTGGGGGATAGAACAGTTACCATTTTTATCTAGTCTCTCCAGTTCTCAGTCTGGGCAGTGAAGGGCACTTCTGTGTAGACAGACTGTAGATTTCTGTTCGTTTCAGTTCGAGGAAACAGATCCTTCTTTAAGTTGGCACGCTCCCTGCCCAGGTATTTAAAAGGTAAACTGCCTTTCCCTTGTGTCCTTTGCAGCCTGGAGCCAGTTTGGAGCAGACACACATTTTTGTACTTGCGCATATTCTAAGACGACCAATTATAGTTTATGGAGTGAAATATTATAAGAGTTTCCGAGGCGAAACTTTAGGCTATACCCGGTTTCAAGGTAAGCTATTGTGTGTTGTCCAGGTCCCCTGTTGACTGTTAGGTGGACCCACGGGTGGAAGGTGGCTGTGGAGGGCAGCCCTCTCTCCTTTTCTGACCCTCCTCTCTCTTCCCAGGTGTGTATCTGCCTCTGTTGTGGGAACAGAGTTTTTGTTGGAAAAGCCCCATTGCTCTGGGCTACACTAGGGGCCACTTCTCTGCTTTGGTTGCCATGGAAACTGATGGCTATGGCAGCCGAGGGGCTGGTGCTCACCTGAACACGGATGATGATGTCACCATTACCTTTCTGCCTCTGGTTGACAGTGAGAGGAAGCTGCTCCATGTGCACTTCCTGTCCGCTCAGGAGGTAAGCAGTACCTGCTTCTAGAAGCTTCTGTGGCAGGAAGGCTGTGCCTTTCAGGTGTGCTGGGGACCATACTACTGGGTACGTGTATGGATCTGGTTGCGGGCATTGCCACATTCACTCACCCTGAAATGGACCTTTTCAGAGGTCCTGTGTGTGTGTGTGTGTGTGTGTGTGTGTGTGTGTGTCGGGGGAAGGGAGGGGACACTGGAGCCAGATGTCCTGCATCTGCCGGGGGTGGGATGTCTACTGGGATGGCTTCACGTGGGATTCTAGGAAGGAGGGAATAGCAAGGTGACAAGATGCACCTACTGGGAAGCCACCAGCCAGTTGTGCCCTGCAGTCTGCTTGCTTTTAGACCAGATACTTGGGCAGGGGCAGCTGCTCCACCACTAGGTTCAAAGCCATTGCAGCACTTGGAGGTGGAGAGCGTGAGTAAAGAACAGTTTTTGGAAACCTGTTTGTTTTAAAGACAAAACAACACATGACTCTTTGATTTAAAACAGCAGCAGCTACAAAACCTATCCATGAACCGAGTCTGTGCCTGTCCTCTGCGCTAACCTACAGAGCCATCTGCTTACAGCTGGCTTTTCCCACCGCCCTTTGCCATCATCTTAGATTCCTATTGGCTAACCGCACCACCCTGACCCTCCTCTCCCGGTTTTTTTTTTTTTTTTTAGAAAAAAAAAATTTCAAGTTTTCGAGATGAATTGCTG